TCACGTGGGAGGAAATCGGAGAGAAAATAATCAATACCATGTGTAGTAACTAAGTCTCTCATAAGTCAAACATGTGATTCTACTTTGAATGCAAAAATAGCAACAGCAATCATAGTTCTGATCGAGTATAGAAATCATACTTGGGATGAACGTCATGTTGTGAGCTTGTCAGGGTCCTTGGCCCCTTAGCAGCTAAGCTGGAACTCTGGGGCCCGTCTTGAGAGTTCACGTATGGCCACATCCCTTCCCCTGAATGGGCCCATTCTCTGCTCTGAAGACTGGAAGGCATTTGTCTCTGCTCTTCCCTTACCTTTCTTGAGAGACCTGTGTGTTGTAGAAGTCCCTCTGCCCACCTCCCATCGGACACACGCGCGTGCACACACACACACCCACACCCACGCACGCACACTTGGCTAGCCAGGCTTTCTTTTTGAATTTTTTTCCTCTTGGGCTTGATTTTTAAATTTTCTTCTTTTCCTCTTTTCACTGACTGCTCTCCTGTTGACACCCTTTCCTGCATTCCTTCTTACAGCGCCTTCTAAAACATGCATGTCGTGGGAGGTTCCTTTTTATAGGGGCCCGCGGAGGAGTTAAAGTGTTTTTTGTCTGAGACATCTCTGCCAAATATCTTCTTATGAACTTTTGAACCACGCTGGCAACGCCCTTTGGGACTGCTGAGTCTCCATGGGCTGGGTTGAATCAACATTTTCTCGAACTCTGCAGCATACTCACGGTGCGGCAGTGTGATGCGGTGGTGGTGGTGGAGGTTTTCTGAACACCCTCTCCTTCCCCAGGAGCTGGAAGGACTTTCTGTGAAGCCGCAGGGTCCCTGCCTGCCACCCTCCTCCGGCCACCTGGCACCACAGCCCCTGCTACAGGCTCGGTGTGCAGCCCAGACCAGTCCTGTCGGGCTGGTTTAGGAGGCCCGGGGGTGGGAGAACACGAGCGGAGGAAAAGACGTAGTCCTGGAGCCAGACCTGGGTCCAGATCCCCTTTGAGCCCGCGACTTTTGGACAACTGATCTCTGTATGGACACAATGCACTTACCTTGGGGCGCCGTCTTCCTTGCCTGTGAGAACCTCTTCTCTTTTTCTGTTCTGATTTGGTGACTGAAATAGTTGCTATGAAGAGTGCAAACAGTACCAAAACATAGAAATAGTGAAAGTATCCTGGATCCCTTACCCCCCACCCAGCCACTGGTGCAACTGTGATATCATTCGACCATTTTAGAACTGAATTGTAGTGTATTGTAGCGATTCCTGTTATTTATTCATTACTTGCCTTCTGGTGGATATTTCCTTAAAAAGTACTTGTGTAGGAAAGCACCTAACTATTGACCTAATATATAAAAGTATTATAGGTAGTACCAAATGACTCTTTAAAAAAAAAAATCAGCCTATCTTTCCCACCAAAGGTAGGAAAGAGAAGGTGGTTCTCTTCTTGATGGTAAACCAAAACGCCATCAGAGCAGAGTAGTCAAAATTCAAGTCACTTGTTTTAGTTCATTATTATCAAGTCACGGGTCACAGACGTCTGTGACGCCTACCCTCTCAGCCACCCTGCCACTCAGGTGTGAGTTGGCAGCAGAGTGAGGTGGGGGCAACTCTTTTACAAATTATTCGATTGTAAGTAGTTTTTAAAATAGAAAGTCTAGGCAGCATCAAAATGATTTCTTATCAAAATGGCTATCAGATAGTGTCAAGTGATCATTCTGTATGATGTTCTGAATTTGAAGGAGGAAATCTTTATGGTATCTGGACAGGAGTGGCCAGCAGAGCACGCATAGAAGGGTAAGGGTTGACATTTATTGACTTCTTCATGATTTACGTGAATTAAGTCACTGATTCTTCCCAACAGCGCTCTGATGTAAGTGCTATTAATGATCTCTGGTTTACAGGTGAGGAAACTGAGGCACAGTAGAGCTGGGATTTCAACCCAAGCATTCAGTATCCAGTGCCCATGCTCTTAACTGTTTTAATCAGAAGCCAGAACTCAGGGAGAACTGACATCTTTCAAGGTGAAGGGGAGAAGGCAGACAAGAGAGAGAAGCTTAAGGTGATGTCTATTAACAACAGGAAGGGGGTTAGAGGGGCTCCTCCAATGACTCCTGTGAAACCTCACCAGCCAGCACCTCGCCTGTGTCTAAACTGAGGTATTTCAACTCTGTTCTTCACCAGTTGTTTAAAGCCAGCTCTCTCAAAGGGACAGACTCAACTGCGGTTAGAAAAGGCATTCATGATCTGAGACCTAGAACTGGGCCCCCAGCAGGAGCTCCTGATGTACTGAGGGCCGACCGGAAGGCTGGGGTCTTGCTCCTCCTCGGCCTCCTGTCCGCCCATGGCCCATCAGTAGCTCAGAGTAAGGGGGCAGTGTGTGTTTTGACTCACTTTTGGGGTGGGCAGCTGGGAGCACTTCGATGAATGTGCTCAGCGATCTGGGAGCAGGGGTTGTTTCTCGGGTTGGTGAAGACGAGTTCCTTGTAAATACAGTGTACACTTGGGGCTTTGGAGGTGGATGTCATGCCTCCTTGTGTCACAAGGCCCATCCTGCTAAGCAGGCTTGCTATACAGTTGATGAGGAGTGAGTGTGCATTCTAAAGCTATGGAAGGCAGAGTTCCTGCCATGATGTCCCTTGTAATTAGAAACAACAAGGACAGCTTTTCAGCGCCGTCCACGTGGCTGACTCACAAGTTATTTAGGAGGCACCTAGGTGCCTGCTGAGAACACAAGTGCCTGGAGACGTAGGTGGCAGTAAAAATGGCAGATGTCTGCAAGTCTAATGAGCTGTGAGTGAGGCAGACCCTCAAATACCCTAGAGGTGAGGTGAAGGAAGCAAAGTGTTGAAGAGCATCTCTGTTTTCATCTTTTACCTGCGGGGCTTCTGTGACAGTCCCCTTTCAGCAGGATTTCTGCAACAGCATCAAATTCAAGACCCAGCCGGCCTCCTTCCGAAATAAGAGCACCTTCTCCAGCTGGCTTCTTGGGGGTCTCCTTCCGCCTGTGCTTCGCTGGCACTCCCGTGCTCTTTCCATCCCTGCATGCCGATCGTATGTCTCCCTAGAATTTCCACATCCTTGCCTTGGGTCTGCCTACACTGTGGCATTCAGAATAGATTGACTTCCTCTTCTACAGGACTTTCATCTAAATATTCAGATGGTACCAGCCTGTTTCTTCCCCTGCCCCCCAAGTCCCTTCTTGGTTATATATAGCTATTCCTGTCTGGCCAGCCTCTCATAGGCTGTGTATGATTTTTCTGATCTTTTCCCCATTCAGTTTGCCCCTTCTAGAAACTGATGTCTGTTTGTCAGTGTCCCCTTCTAGGCTGCAGCAATCAGAATAATGCCACAGATATGGTTTAACCGACCAGGGTCCAGTGGGATTATTAACTAACTCCTTTGTTTGACTACAAAGCACTGACTCATTCTGTTTTGATCACTGTAACGAGGTAGATGAGGCACATCCATGTCAAAGGATTCCAATCCTTGCTTGGCAAGTTGTTTTTCCCTCTTTATAAAGGAAGGGCGATGATAATTGCACAAGGTTTTCTAGTTCACATGCTCCTCTCACACCTGTTTTATTAAAGTAATCCTTTCCTTGGCTACCTCATAGAGCAGTTGTTACCAAGCAAACAACACAGGCAGTAGTGTTTTATAAAGAATTGTATATCTCTGCAGACCAAGAGAGCATTAGCTTTTTTAGACAGAGTTGTTTAGCTAATTGAGTATGCATGACTAGTTAGTTCTAAGTCTTTGGTGCAGGATTTTGCATGTACCTGGAATCATTTAGTGAGCTAGGATGTTCCGAATCTGAACTTGGTTTCTTTGGAGCTATTCCTAATTTAATTTTCTATAAGTTTAATAAGTATGTCCAATAGTTTCCAGATCATCAATTGTTAATTTGTTACCAAAACAGAAGAGAACAGATCTAAATCTAAGCCTCAAGGTACATATCATTGGGAGCTTCTCCTACCTTGACGTAGATCAGCACAGCGGGCATGGTTGTTGCTTCTGACCAGGCCCTCCTTCTAGAGTTACTAAACTGGACCTAAGGAGTGCCATGGACATAGGGACTTTTATGAGAAAGTAAAACAAATATGTCCCTAGTGGTCCATCTAAGATTACTAGATTGGTAGATCAAGGAGATGTGGCGCCCATAAAAACCAGCAGTATTCAAATGCAGATGTCTTTCCGAAACAAGATAGATCTTTAAATCTGTGGCCTTTCTCTAGTTGGGTCCTACTATCAGTGGATGAAAAATCATTTGTTGAGTACCCGCTATGTGCTAGGCATGGGCTCTGCGGGTACGAGATGACTAAAGCCTGTCCTGTCCCCAAGGAGAGGACAGGCACGCTGGATGTGTCTGGCGTAGGTGTGCTGGCTCCTGGTGATGGACGATTGCCTCCCCCGCCCCACCCCCTGCCCGCATACCTGCACACCTCTCGCCGGGAGTCCGCTGCAGTATGATGGCCATGCTCTTCAGCCTGTGGTGGAGGGCTCCTTGCCTTTTGGGTGGGGGTGAGGAAGCAGTGGGCCCACATGCAGGTTCTAGTTCCTCTTGTTCCCCAGGGCATCTCACACAGTGAGCTGTTTAATTCGTGCATCTTTGTTCGTTGTCCTTTCTGAGTGTGGGTTCTTCTGGGAATCAGCTATATTTTAAACTGAAGGTCATTTTCTAGTTAGAGAAGACAAAATTGACATTCTGTTTTCTGCATTTTCTTATCACTTATTAGTTATGCTGTCTGCTTTATGTATTGGACCAACTCCTCTCAGGATATTTTAAAAACTCTGTCAGTTTCATAGTACTGGTACATTGAGCCATAACGTCTTTTCATTTATCTCACTTACATAGTCAAAGAGAAAAAATGGTGTTGGTGTCATATGCTGACATGTTGATCTGAAGGTCCAGCTGTACTTCTGAGGAAAAGGCCCGACTTTAAAATGCTCTTAGGCTCTTCCTGGGCCAGTGCTCTCACCAAGAACAAGGCCACATTCAGTTCGAGCATGAAGATCATGAAGCCCAATGGCAGGAAGCTGGACGACTTCGTGTCGGGCATCTACCAGGTTCTCCTTAAGCTAGAGAGGAGCTCGGATCTCAAAGCCCAGCTAAGGGAGCTGAATATAACAGCAGCCAAGGAAATTGGATTTGATGGTGGTCTGAAAGCTATTATCATCTTTATTCCTGTTCCTCAACTAAAATCTTTCAAGAAAAGCCAAGTCCAGCTTGTCTGTGAATTGGAGGAAGAGTTCAGTGGGAAGCATATTGTCTTTATTGCTAGGAGGAGAGTTTTGCCTCAGTCAGCTCGAAAAAGCCATACACAAAATAAGCCAAAGCATCCCAGGAGCTGCACGTTGACAGGCACGCGCGACACGATCCTGGAGGACTTGGTTTTCCCAAGTGAAACTGTGGGTAAGAGAGCTCACGGAAAAACGGATGGCAGCCCGCTTATTTATAAAGTTTCATTTGGATAGAGCAGGGCAGAACGTGGGGAGCACAGGGTCGAAGCTTGCTCTGGCCTCTCCCAGAGGCTCACTGGTGAAGATGTTCACTTTGAGTTCCCAGAGCTTTGTTGTAAACAAATATGATTTAAAACAAATGCTCTTAGGTGTCCCTCCTGTTTACCTGAGGCAGAGCCGTTTTTCCACAGCCCTGGAATGTACTTGTTTGCCATCATATCTTTAGCACAGTTCACACCATAAAAGGAGTCTCAGATTCTATAGTGACCTTGAGGAAGGCATGCAATCTACCTTGACCTTCTTATCCCAAACATAAAAGTGATTTTCTCTAGAATTCCCACCTCTCTCCCCCTTAAGATATAAATGTGTTTTGGGGAGTCTGGGTGTCTCAGTTAATTAAGCGGCAGACTTTGGCCTAGGTCATGGTCTCGCAGTTAATGAGTTCAAGTCCCACATCAGGCTCTGTGCTGACAGCTTAGAGTCTGGAGCCTGCTTCAGATTCTGTGTCTCCCTCTCTCTGTGCCCCTCCCCTGCTCTCGCTTGCGCTCGCTTGCTCGCTCTCACTCTCGCTCACTCTCTCTCAAAAAATAAACATTAAAAATTTTTTTGAAAGGGATATAAATCTGTTTTTAAAAAGTAGTTATTTTATCCTTTTCATCAGGAATAATCTGAAAAAGAATGAGAACTGGTGATGCAAAGACATGCAGGAATGGGCATGGGGATGAGTGGCGAAGGACAGTATCCCCGATGAGTCTCAGTGGAACTTTTTGAATCATAGACAACAGAGTGAACAGTTCGCAGTAGGGTTCGGTTAATAGAAAGCTTCATACTTCTGTGCTCGAGCTGATACAAAAGGAGAGCATTCACTCTGATGTGTCAGGCATTGAGATGGGCCCTACTCTACCGATGAGCAGGCTTCATTCTCACAGTGGTCCTGGGAAGAAGACTGTGAGAAGTGGGATCACCAGGGTTAAGTTCCTTACTTAGGTCGCGCTAAAATTGGGAACACAGTTTTAGGAAGTTTTTAAAGTTTGACTTCAAGGCATGTGGTCTTTAGTTTGTTGTATTCACAATGTGAATACTTTAAAAATTTGCAAAGGGTGGGGAAGGTTAAGGTAGGTAAAAAAATGTTAAAGCCTGTTCATTGTCTTGCATGAGGTATCAAGAATGGCAGATGCTAGGGGTGCCCTTGGCTCACTGGATTGAGCATTAGACTCTTGATCTCAGTTCAGGTCTTGATCTCAGGGTCATGAGTTCAAGTCCCATGTTGGGGTCTGCACTGGGCGTGATAGATAGATAGATAGATAGATATGGCAGATGATAAAGAAGAAGGGTAGAGGCATGGTATTTCAGGAGGAAATCTATTTGGTTCTTATGTTAGGACAGTGGTAGTCCCAGGGAGTTCTGTTCTTTATTTTAAGGTTTTATTTTTAAGTAATCTCTACACACAGCTTGGAGCTCGAACCCACAGCTCCTGGATTAAGAGTCATATGCTCCATTGACCGAACTAGCCAGGCATCTTTTCTTTATTTTAAGTATCCTACTTTATTACTATAATTTTTTTTGCAACTGTGCTAACACACCGTATTTAATAGGTGTTTATCTCTTTCCATTAGAATGTAAGCTTTTCAGACAGAGACTCTGCCTTTGAACCTAACTGGTATGTAGTAGCCACTTGAATGATGGACAGAAAGCAGGAGTAATGGAGAAGGACGTTGGAGGAGGAATACGTGATGCATGGGAACTGTTGAAACAGAGGGAAGCTGCACTGAATAGGATCATTGTGGGAGGGTTTCGGGTAATAGATTATCGGGGTTGTGTGAGACAGGGAACCTGGTGATTGTCTGCCTCCAGGTTTTACCAGGCACTGTGAGAAGAATAAATTGTGAGGAGTGCACGGGAAAGACACATTTCATTCTTTAGTAGATTCTAGAACATTCCTGGGTGTAAGTGGGGCCATCAGAAAGTTCTTGTTTTATATATATATGAAATCCCTGCTCTTCATACAGGTGCACCCCCACGTTTTCAGCACTTTGGGGTCACTTGTTGAGGTGGTTTTGAAGCTCCGTTTCCCTCATTGCTCCGAATCCCCTTTTAGGGATTTTGTCAGGAAATTCTCAGACCTCAGTGGCTGGGAGGACTTGACTCTGGGCACCCAGTAGGCTTTCATCTGATCTAGTGTCTCCCTTTTACTGTTGGGGCATAGGGCCTCCGGGCTTGTGCTTGTGCAGGGAGATCTAGTGCTGTTTTATCCTTGGTGTGCCCTCGTGTGTATGTGTGCACGTGGGGGAAGCGGCGGATGACGGGCACTGACCTCTGGGAAGGGAGTAGGATTTGGCAGGGGGAGGGGAGGGAGGTGAAGAGAAACCTGTGCATTTTTACTGGCTCCCGTGCTTCTCAACCTTTTCCGTCATCACTTCCCCAAAGAAAGGTTTTAGATATTTTTCCTAATTACCTCCTGACAAAGGAATAGAGTTTGTTGGGGAGGGTCACAGATTACTCTAAGGTCTACAGTTGTTTTCACTGCCCACAAGAACCCATCGTCATCCCTTTGTGGGGCAGTATTACCCCCACTGAAAATGCACGCTCTGCATACTTTTGTACTGTTTATTTATTACTATATTTAAAACAATTTTTTTTAATGTTTATTATTGAGGGACAGAGCATGAGCATGGGAGGGGCAGAGAGAGAGGGGAAGACATAGACTCTGAAGCACATTCTGGGTTCTGAGCCGGCAGGACAGACAGAGCCCGACTCAGGGCTCAAACTCACAAACCGTGAGATCATGACCTGAGCCCAAGTCACACACTCAGCCGACTGAGCCACCCAGGCACTTCTGTTGTTATTTTTTAAAATGAGTGTTATTTTAGAGATCCAAAAGAAAGGTTATACAGCTTGAAAGGATTGAACTGCCCTGGAACCAGAGGGTGACTCCACACTGGTGCTCTTAGTCCTGAGGAGTGAGCTGGGGAAGGGCAGAAGGCTAAGGCCATCCTGGGCCTGAGCGGCAGCCCCAGCACAAGGGGTGGGGGGGTGGGGGGGCAACTGAAGATGCCAGGGGAGTGGCAGCAGGACTGGCAGAGGATGATCTCCCAGCCCAGATGCCCCAGAGGCTTCTCTCTGTCTTCATTTTCTTCACCCTTTGCTTGTACTTGGCAAGGCAGTGTTGGTGAGTTCTGGTTAGAGGGGAGCCTGCAGCAGGGCTTCTCGTCAGTGACCCAGCCTCATTGCCTGGAGGTACCCCTCCCCAGGAGAGGGGTCAGGACGTGTCCTGGGGAACTGGTGGTGTGCAGGGAGGGGCAGGAAGGAAGGAAGGGGCTGCTGTGCACTTGACGGACCCATGCAGAGGCTCTGAGAGTGGCTTGGGAAGATCAAATAAAATAATTCTTGAAGAAGAGTGAAGAAACTGATGTTTATAAATAACTTGGAAGAGTGATTATTTTAAATTATTTTTTCATTTTTATTCAGAGAGAGAGAGAGAACATGAGCCGGGGGGAAGGAGAGAGAGAGAGAGAGAGAGAGAGAGAGAGAGAGAGAGAGAATCTCAAGCAGGCTCCATGCTCAGTGTGAAGCCTGACACAGGGCACGATCCCACGACTCTGGGATCATGACCTGAGCCAAAATCCAGAGTCAGACGCTCAACCGACTGAGCCACCCAGGTGCCTGGAAGAGTCATTTTTAAACAAATCAGAGTGAAATTTCCATGACCTATTAATGAAATAAGATTTCATTAGTCTCAATCTAAACGTAATCTTTTAAGCTAATTTTCATGTTGCAAGGAAGAAAATGTCAGCATTTTCTGCCTGATGTTCAGAAATTAAAGCTTTTTAGATGGAAATCGTGAGTGTTATTGGCCAAAGCTTACTTTTTACTTCTAACAGCTCTCAGTCCCTTGGCTTTACAAGTTGTGTATATCACACAGTTTAAAAATCCCCCTCTGTAGTTACAGAACAGAAGCCCATTTGCTTGACCCGTGTTCTGCCACACTTTGAAGGAAGCACCCCTGATTTCTGTGTCCTGTGGAACAGTGCTGGGAGCTAAATGATACTTTGAAATAGATTTTTTTCCCTAGAGGAACTCATAGGAATTTTTTTTTCATTTTAAACTTTTTTTTTTTAAACAAGTACATATTCCTAATTTTTGAATTCTGTGTAGCCGGCCTGTCTGCAGAAAGCACACTTATTTAAAAAAGTGGTATTTGAGTAGAAAATCCTTGCCGCTCCTTTACTTAATTTCCTTTACTTAAAGGAAAATCCTAGGCCAAGAGCCCTAGTTACAGGATGTCGATGCGTACCTACTTCTCTGTTAGTTTTCCACTTCGGGTCTTGCGCTTTGCCTGGAGCTTACGCGTTTTATTCGTGCATGTGCTAGTATGTGAAGTCTGAGACGGAATTGGCTGTCCAGAGCCCCAGCTTGCAAGTAGCGAGTGGCTGAGTCAGGGTTTGAACCCAGGTCCAGCTAATTCCAGTCCTTGATTTTTTCTCTCCTTACTCCGTTGGTGAGAACAGTCCACAGGGAAGATGAATTTCCCTCTGGCTTTTCTGCTAAGGTTATTTCAAGTTTGCTCTGTAATCACTTAGTGGTTTGGGGCATGACATTGTATCTGTCAGACACATTTGAATAAAGGAAACATAAACATTCTATTATAGGTTTTTGTTGTTGTATAAAAATTTGTCTCATTTGGGCTCATCTCCCCCCCCTCAAAAAAAAACACCCCAAACCCGTGCAGTGTAACCTTCATTTCTACATTTGAAGAAATAGAACGAATTTCCTTCTAATTTTTGCTGGTTGACCAAACTGTGTAGACAGTTTAGAATGGGAAAGAGCCCTAGTGCACTCATTGGATTTGGCCTTCTTGTTGTGTAGACAGGAAATGGATCAGAAGCTAGACGGATTGACCCTGAACTAGGGCCTGCAGCACCCTTCCCGCCTTAGCCTACCACGTTTGTCTTTAGATTCATTGAAATGCAACTCCTCTGAGAGTTTTGCTTTTGGAAAAAATTCAACTGGGAAAT